ACCATTGTTCAAATGTTGCCCATACCCCCTCTGACTCGGTCTCTTGCCTCAGCATTCCCTAACCCGGCAACTGAGTTTTAGTCAATCAAGTTTAAATAGGCCTCCCATAGTGGGACCAGGGAATGTACGGCCCGAGATACCTATTAAACTTAGAGGTGTGTGTGTGTAAGTGGGGGGAAAGTCCTTTGTAAATCTAGATTAGAACTGGTCTGATAAATGCTGAGCTGGGTGTGTGTAAATGTGGGTTGATTAGCATTTGGAGCACAGATTCCCCATCATGCAGTGCTCCCCTGCTTCTCTGATTCCAGAATTCACTTCAGTCTCTGCTTCAGGATTTCTGTTCTCCATCTCCCATGTAAATGAATGGTCATCTGGTTCCATCTCGGATGCAAATGAAACCTAGGGTAGTTGTTTCACTCTTGTCACCCTTATCTGGAGGGTCTTAGGTGTGTCTCTCAATGCAACTTAATTAGTTTCATTTAGGGCGTGGGGGGCAATTCTTTGTGAGTCAGACAGACTGTGTCCTGTGCCAGAGTTCAGCATCTGCTAATATAACTGGGGGAATGGTGACACTGCAGATCACTGTCTTCTCCATGCTGGGTTCATAGCATCCTTTCTCCATGAGGCCAGGTAGAGGGGAGTTTCTGAACATATGCACATCATGTGCGCTGTCAGCCCACCCTGTATAAATGTTTGTGAACCAGCCCCGGTAGTCCACCACAGCTTGGAGGATCATGGAGGCATATCCTTTCCTGTTTGTGAGAGCCCTCCCCCTCCCCGTGGGGCACAGCACTGAGATGTGAGTGCTGTCTAAGGCCCCCGTGCAGTTTGTGAACCCCTTGTCATTGAAGCTATTTGTGACTTGCTGCAGATTTACTAGGCGGATAATTTTGTTTGAACAAATCTCCTTTAGCAGCTGGCATACCTCACGAGTTGCCAACCCAACCATGCAACCAGCCATGTTGAATTGGTTTGCAATGTAGTGGAGGCTGGATGGGCTAGTCAGTTTCATGATGGCCATTGCAACCCTCTTGTCTGGCAGGATGGCCTGATGCATGTTAGTGTCCTGCCTCATGATGTGGGGCGCCAGCATCAAGACCATATGATAGAACATCTCCCTTTTCATTCAGAACATCTCCAGCCACTGCTGGTCATTCCAAGTGGTAAGCATGATTCGCTCCCACCAGTCCAAGCTGCTTTTGTGGGCCTACACCATGCGGATTCTGCTCCTCCTCAGGTTTCTCAACAGAGCCCAGTCATCTTCCACTTCTTTGCTTTCCTCTGGGTATTCCAAGTCCTTTGGGTACCTGTGTCTTATTATTATTCTCATTGCTGTTAAAGCAGGAACACACCTTGCCACTGAATACTCTTATCATCATTCTTATTCTTCTCAAGTGGTGCAGCAGTAATCCCCAGCATTAAACAGCATTTGCAGAAGCAGTACTTCCTCCTCCCCCTCCTGCTCACCCATGTCCTCTGTATTCTCCATGTTGGAGGACTCTTCACTGCGTTGTTCTCCATCATCACACATTTCATTCTCATTCTCCATTTTGCCCCCCTTCATCATCATCAGCTTCTCATCCATCTGCACTAAGCGGGGGGTGGGGACTGTAGGGTGTTCTGTGGCCTGGAGCTTGGTGTAGTTGCTTTTTCAACATTCCACCCCAGGGCATTGGGACTTTTGCACATCCTTTCATCCTGAGCTTAGCAGCCACTGGTGTTCTGATCTAATCAAGCTTGCAAACAAAAAAAAATTGCCTACTCCTCTCCTGGTAATGTAGGCTACTCAAAACTTTTGCCACTTCAGGGAAAACAGGCTGTGCTTCTGCAATAACATTATTTTGCACAAGCAGGCAGGTAGGAATCACTTTTTGTAACATTCTGGGCCATTGAGCAGCCATTCCAAAGTACAATGGCCTTATTTACCTCATTATCAACCCCATCACCAGGTCTTTGTTGGTAAAACGGGTGCTTCCTCACCTTTGGGTGTTTTGACACTTACAGGTAATGGCTTCACAATCCTTGGAATTTTCCAAGACTCTCATGCAAGCACAGCTTGAGTATAAAGGTAAGTATAATTTCACAAGTCCCCTCTCACAAATTGCTTGTGATGTTGACCACAAACTGCTTTGCCATGTCTCAGAAAGCTAAGATCAGCAGTATGGAGCTGACGTCCCAGGAGGCTGATACTTCCAATGCCCATAGACCCAGCTGGACCCAGAAAGAACTGGAAGACTTAATTGACATTTGGTCAGAGCAAAGGATCATAGACAGGCTGGAAAGTAGGAGGAATAATCCTGTTTATGTTGAGATGTAGGTGCGTGTAGGTGCGAGGGCACAATCGTGACTGGACCTAGGTTCAGTGCAAGATCAAGTCCCTGAGATCTGTGTTTTACCAAGTCAAAGATAAGAACTCTTGTTCTGGGGCAGGTTGCACAATTTCTCCCTTTTACGACAAGCTGTCCACCATTCTCTCTGATGATATGGGCGACAACCCAGGTATGGAGACTTTCAGCACCGGGGTTGGGCAAGAGGAGGAGGTGGAGGAGAAGCAGCAGCCCCACCTGAGGGTGAAACCATGAGCATGTCTCAGCTGTACGCAAACCACTCCCTGCTCCATGATGACCATGGCTGGCAGGAAGAACCATTGATCACCATACACTTAGTGCCACTTTGCCCCTCCATTCCACGGACTAGCACAGATGATGAAGCGGAGGAGGTGGAGAGTCAGGAAGAAGCCCATGCGGCTGATACATCATCTACTGCTACCGAGACCCAAGAACATGCTGAACCTGGTAAGTCTCTTATAACGTGCCTCTTGCCACTGCCAGGCAGCTCCCAGATTTGTGTTGGTTGTGTTTGGGGGGCCAGGGGGAGAGGGGGAGAAATTCATGTGTTGCTGTAGGTGGGTCGCCATGTTCTTTCAGTGGTGGTGCATGATGGGTTTGATAGCTCATAATGTAACAGATGCCAAACTAATTATTTGCTTTAATTTTTTGCAGCTAGCATGGGCAGTGGCAGCTGTGGACCTGTTTCCGAAGTGGGTACTTGTAAGTTTTGGGCAGTACAAGTGGTGCCTCACTGTTGTGGGGTCTGATTCTGTGCCTGCCGTTATGTTCACTGCATGGTGGAGGTGGCGGGTGTACTTTCCTCAACCTGGGTGGAATGCAACCATTGGTTTTTTCTTTGTTTATCAGCCACTGCAACCCATGGCAGGGATTTTCACAGCAGGCAGTGATGGTCCCATGAAACCTCACTCAAGGTTTTGGCGGAGTCCTCACTAGCCAGAGTGACATGCTCAGATGCTTGGCAGGACAAACTCCTCAAGTTACTGTGTAAGGATGATGCTGTCTTCAAGAAAGTGTGAGACACCATGCGGAGTTTGAAAGACATGGTTAATGAGTCCCGTGTTGAATTACAGAGGTCACAGGAAAATTTCAGTGATGCTTTTCAGAGTGTGCAGAACTACCTCTTAAATAAATGGGTACCATGACCGGAAGGGAAAAGTCTGTCTGCTTAGCTTGCCTCTATGCAGGAAAACCCAGACAGAGAATTATAGCTGAGCCTGTTCCCCCTAACTCAGTGGGGTCACAGGAGGGCCGTACAACTGCCAGCAGGGTCAGGAGAGCGCCACTGCATTTCAGGGAGACAGGGGCAGTTCAGGGTCATGGTGGGGTGAAGGCAAAGAGGCACAAGTAAATGCTTATAATAGTGTGTTCCAAACAATAAAACCTCATGGTTTCCTGTGTCTGCTCCATATCCACCCTTACACTGTTTGGTTGGGAAGGTGGATTTCATTCATTGTTTGGGTTCATTTCTCTGTTCGTTTTTCCTGCCGCTTGCAGCATGGGGCCGAGGGGAGGGGTTGGCAATCTCTCTTGCACAGGTATACAGGGGGGATTCAGAGGTAAACAGGGGGGCTGCCTGGGTGGGTCAAAACACACAAGTGCTGGCCTGCACACTAGCATTTTGCAAAGGCAGCAGCCACTCTGCAAAGTCACTTTTGAGGCCATCCTGTCTCTGATTTCACTTCCCTTAGTTGGGAGAAGGGAAGTGGTATATCACCACTCAGCAGACTGGATTGCTTTTTGGCAAGCCACCAGCCACATTGCAAAGTCACCCACAGGTGTTCATGCCTTCCCAGTCGGGTCTGCCTATGCTGTGTGGTGGGGAGGCTCTTTGGCTTACCTTTCACAACCCTTGCATTTTCCCTAGTTTGAAACTTTGTAAATGAGCTTTTTCAGCACTCTTTTTGTATTCCTTTCTAGCCAGGTGCCAGGCAGTGTCTCCTTTGTTTTTGAACACCAAAGCAAGGCCATGCGGGGTGGGGGGAGGGGGGGGGGGCATGGCGTGGGGTTTAAGGCCTGCTTTGCTTGCACACAAAACCAGGGACTTTGCAAACTTTCCCACCTTCTTTTTGTGCTCTTTTCCAGCCCAGCGCCAGAGTGTCTGAGTTTTTTTCCACACCAAAATGAGGCTGCTGGGGGGGGGAGGGAGGAGGGGGCCTTGCCCTGCTGAAGGACTATAAATTGGTGGGGCAGACGTTGAGGTGTAAGTTTGCTGTATCGATGAGGCAGGTTTTAGGTGGGTGAGGGATGACAGTACAGTGGAAGCAGAGAAGGATTCATCCCAGGCACAAGACTTACCCCTAGGGGAGAACAGCAATGCAAATCCAGGGTTCAAGACTGCAGGCTTATCAAGTGGGGTGCAGTGACGCTTCCAGTGCTATTTGATGCCTGCACCTCTGTGACATGTGACTCAAAAGAGGACATGGCAAAGTGCTCCTCGTCACCTTTGGTAAGTGACATCTGACACTAGAAGCAACAGCCCCGGGCATAGTGGTTTGGGGGCCCCGTGGAGACAGGAAGAGTGGGCGGGGGGACTCCTCAGTGCCACTGTCAGCCTCACATCCAGACACTCACCAACTCCCCTCCCCACCCCCAAAAGCCACCGCGGCACATGGGATTGGCTCTGTGTGGGGGGAGGCTAATTCGTACCATGGTTCTCTAGTGCCCAGGGGCCAAGCTGGGGGTGCCACTGCCCTTGCTCCCGTGTGCCCCAGACAAGCTGCCTTGGCGGCAGCTTCGGCAATGAGGGGGGAAGGGCAGAGGGAAGCTGAGCAGTGTGGCACCCCCAGGCACCTACCAATGGCGCCCCCTTTGCATCTGTGCCTGAGGTGGCTGTCTCACCTGCTACCACCAGTACACCACTGCCCTGCACCCTGATAGGGTCATCTCTGGTTGGGTGGAATGCATTGCTTAGTTCAAATTTATTATAAATGGGACTGGTGGAATTTTATGGGCATGAAGGAAGGTACGCGAGGTACACAAGAGGCACCAATACAAATTCCCAGTGCTTTTTCTAGGCTCCCTCTGGTTTTTAGATCCCCTTCTACTGCTAGTTGCAGGCTGATCGATGCCTGTTGGTGTGACAAGAGGCAGAAAGAGAAAGGAAGAAAGAGAAAATGAAGAGGATGACAACGCTTCCTTCAGAATTCTCTCAACAACTGAATTATTATGCATTATAATTATAGTTGACTTTCATCCTATAGACTTATATAGACTTATAATATAATAACAAGTAATGCTAATAATAGGAAGCAATAATAATATTAATTCTAATAGTAATATATTAATAAGATATGTAATAATATTAATATTAATGAAGATTTATTAATGGTAAGTAATAATTGTAATGGTTTGATTCCTTAACATGGCATTTCAAAGCAGGTAGATCTGCCTTATCACTGCCCCCACCTGCCCCCACAGCTGCCTCTTGCAGCATGCATGCCATGCATCCTGGGCACACACCACACACATCCTGGGCCTCCACCATATATATATAGCCAATATATGATATAGACTTATGTTATATAGACTTATAATTACAGTTTGATTCTTTATGATGAGAAAGCAGATAGTGAGCATAAGGCAGGTGATTATGTGCCCTTCCTCCCTGCCTCTTCCCCCAAGGCAGTGATTGCCCACCTCCTGGTTACTGGCCATATTAATGAGCAAGCTCCTCCCTAGGTTTCTGTATTCTAGGGGCAGGCAATTATTTCAGGAGGAGGGCCGCTTACTGAGTTTTGGCAAGGCATTGAGGGCCACATGATAGGCAGCCGGGGCAGATAAATATTAACTTTCTAAATTTTTTAGGGGCCCCACAGGCCAGATAGAATGGCCTGGCAGGCTGCATTCGGCCTGTGGACCGCATTTTGCTCACCCCTGCTCTATTCCCATGACTGGGCCTCCTGGCTTGGGGAAAAGTACTGAATTCTGAGCCTGATACTGCACTAGGAGGAGGGCAAGGCTTTCTTTTCACCCTCCTCCTTGTTTTTTGGTGAGGCCACAAATGCAGCTGAGGCTATTTTTAATAGGACACTATGCAGTATGAAGTGTATCATTGAGGGGACTCATATTCATTGAGTGACAGTCCCCTCACTAGCCTACTATCAAGCGACGGTCGCTGTAAAGAAGCACATAAAGAAATGAATATTAACTATGTAATGAATCTGTACTACAGTAAATACATACATTATTAAGACTTATGAATTATTAAGAATTACATTTACTCACTGTAATATTTGAATTGTTCATGGCCACTAGTACTGCAGGGGCTTCTCTTCTGTCTACCTGAATTATTGCACAAGTTCTGCAGGTTCTTTTCGTATTATTCTCACCCTCCTCCTGGTTGCTGGCCACAAGTTCTCTTCTGTCTACTACTTGAATTGCAGAGGCTTTCTTCACAGGTTTTGGCCTGAGCATTAGTTTGAGTATAGTAAGAGTTGCACAAGTTTTGCAGATCCGTTTCATATTATTCTCACCCTCCTCCTGGTTGCTAATGAGTGTATTATGAAATTGTAATTTGAGATTTGTTGCTGGCCACAAATCTGGAGGCTTTCTTTTTGGTTGCTGGCCAAGCCCTCTGACAAATTCTCTCCCGGGTCTGGGTAGTAGGCCCATGCCTGCAGTCTCTTCGCCCACCTCTGCCTTACACCTCTTCATTGCACCTTGTAACTTTCAAATTGCTGCTGGCCACAAAAGCAGCCGAGGCTTGAGTTTCTTCTCTGAATTGCAGAGACTTTCTTCTTGGTTGCCAAGCCCTCCTGCTTTTTTCACTGGCTTTGGCCCGAGCATCAGCTCGAGTATGGTAAGAGTTGTTGAATGCATGTCTTCTGACTGGAGTAAATACAGAACCGTGTCTTCAGGCCCACTTCATAGTCTTCTCGCCTTCCTCTTGGAGACTGGCTATGTCCCAGCAAATTTAGACTGGGATACATGTTTTCTGACGGGGGAAAAGCTTCTTACTGGGGAAAACCCTCTCTGCCGCCTGTATCAGCATGAGTTGCACAAGTTCTTCAGGCCCATTTCATTCATTTCTGCAGCTGCAGCTGTGCTCAGGAGCTATGACCACTGCAGTGGACTAGGGCTGGGGGCACAGGTGGGGCCTTTCATATCACCCACTCCTTGAGTTTCTTTTCTGAATTGCAGAGACTTTCTTCTTGTTTGCTGGCCAAGCCCTCCAGCAAATTCCCTCCTGGGGTCCAGGTAGAAATGCTGGCTGCACACTAGTACTGGCCAAGAATTTGACCTCCGTCCATCTGATAGCAGTCCATCCTGCAACTCTTTCCAGTAATCCCATGACTCCATAAAAGTCACACAATCATCAGCTCTCTGAAAACTCACTCCCCATTAACCATGCATGCCAATTCTGCCTATCAAAGAAAACATGACACATATATAGATCAAAAATAAAACACTGCTGGGACACAGCCAGTAACCAGGAAGAGGTGCTG